TAAAGAAGGCTTGATGCAACTCGCGTGTTTTGCGATGTTTAAGATGCCGACGGCCCGCGGCCGGAGGAGGTACGCCGTTGGATTCTGCTCGAGCGCTATCCGGCTTTTCAACGAGTATCAGCAATGGGCATTCGCAGGATGCTCTCCGAAGTTAACCGTGCCTCGCCTGCACAGGCTCTCAGTCTGGTTGTCTTCGTACTGAGTCCGGATGAGACTGATGCAGCCTCTCGCAGGTACTTGCTTCCTCTCTTTTTTTCTGCTGGTCGAATTGTCTTCCGAGCCCCCCACCCTTTTTAGTCTTCTTGCTCATTCGGCATCTGCACACCGAACTGCGAAAGGAAGTGTACTCAAACTGGCACTGGCATTTCTCTCGGTTCTAATTCCCTGTCGGTGCATGCACTTGCGCTCCCACTGGGTTTCAGGCCCCACCTCAGGCGACCGATCAGCTAGGCGGTCGCTAGACGGTGGGGTAGAGTGTGAGGTCGACCCTCTGCGCGTTTCTCTCTTCCCTATACTAAACCTGAATGCGCTTTAATCTATCACGGTGCGCTAAAAGCCGTGGCATGGAGGGTTTTCCAACTGACTGGCAAACTTGGGTCACCTATGTTGCTGCTCCTCTAGTACGCGTGTGTTTGTGTGTGCGTATGTGAGGAGTTGGAGGACTGAGAGTCAGGCTGCAGTGGCTCCTTCTTAATGTGGCCTTTTTGGCGTTCCCGCGCGTGCGGGAGCCTACCTAGCGAGTTGGCTGAGTCGAGTATGCGCGTGTTGAGTGACAATCGCGCCAGCCACCAAAATCCTCCCTCATCCCCAGTCTTATTGACTTTGTCTTTACACCAGAAACGGAGGTGGGAGCGGCGAGCGAGTTTGCTTTAACTCCTGTTTTCGTTCGCGATAGTTCGTTGCGTTGCTTCTGCTTGCTGTAGCCTTCGTGCAGCTTGCCTCTGTGTTTGCTTCGGCTTGCTTCAGCGTTTGCTGCGGTTCGTTGGAGCGTGCGGCTGCCCATCGTCGAACTCGACGGGGAAACTATCACACAAACTGTTATGAGCCGTGTCTCGTACTTGTAATCAACACGAACTGTGGACGGGCCCGATGATTGTTCCCAGTGCCAGCACGCGGAGAGGAAGAAAAGGCAATCGACTGCGAGGAGAGCTGTACAGTAGTCGCCGGCTGTTAAGCATACCTCGGGCCCAGACCAAATTGGGCTTAATGAGCGGCGGGCTTATTAACCGTG